CCTAGTTTAAATATTCCTCCAGCCTTCCCATAAACCTCTCCCCCAGCACAGCAGACCCCCTTCCATTTAGGTGCAAACCATCTCTAGCATATAGGTTGTACCCCAATGAAAAGTCAGCCCAGTGCTCTAGAAACCCAAATCCTTCCCTCTTACATCAGGTTTTCAGCCATGCATTGAGTGCTCTAATCTCCCCCTGTCTTTCCTGAGTTGCGCATGGCACAGGTAATATTTAAGAGAATATCACCATAGAGGTCCTTCCCTTCAACTCGCAGCCTAGTTCTTTAAATTGATTCTTAAGGAGCCTCCACCTTCCATGTATTCTGTCATTGGTTCCAACATGGACCAAGACAGATGGGTCATGCCCAGCCCCTCCCAGTAATTTATCAACCCGGTCCACCACATGCCGAACCCTGGCACCAGAGAGACAGCAAACCATTTGGTTTAGGCGATCCTGGCAACATATTATTCTACCAGTCTTCTGATTATTGAATCCCCTACTACCACCAGCTGTCTAGGCCTTCCTGCAGTACCCTCACCACCCCTCCCAGATGGTCTGCCCTCCCGGCTGTAAGGGATAGCTCATGAGAAGTAATAAAAGCAAGCAGTTATTTGGACAGTTGAAAATCCTACTAAAATTGTATCTTGGGGTACAGGTCTCTAATGGATTTAATAATAAGTACACAAAAGTAGCCAATCTCCTCCCTTCACAATCAACATTCATATACAATTAAAAAGAAAAATAGTCCCCTCCATAAAAAATAGTTCTTCCGCTCATGGGCGACTTAAAATTTCCCTCATCATTCGTTCAGCAATGCAATGTCCCTGGAAACATCAATACTGCACTCCACCCCCTGCATCTCCCAACCATATACCTCAACACTGATGGCAAATTCCATCTTCCCAATACACCACACCCTTCTCTATAACTTCAGCAAGTAACCCTCCTCCATACCCCAACATACACTAAAAGGTCCCTGCATTTACCTTCGCTATACCGCAACATAGATTGCAAACTCGAATCTGTTATACTCAAAAATATACTTTAAGCTCCTTCCTGCCCTCAATCTCCTCCTCCTTTAACCCAACATAGGTCACAAGCTCCTAGCATCTGTGATATCCCTTTACCTTAAGAAAGATTGTGATCTCCTTTCGTATCCTGCACACCCACACTCCAACACAGCTTTCAAGCCTAGTTTAGCTGATGGACCCCCACACCTGTACAACTCAATATAAACGGAACTTTTACCTGCCTCATGCTTACCCTTCCCTTACACCTTAACCTAACTTCTTCAACCTCCTGCATTTTTCTCCCTTATATGTCACCGCCTACACAGGCATATCCTCCCCTATAGTCCAAGTGCAAGTTTATGCAAACTGGACAAATGTTAGGCATTATGTAAACGTAAGTAAAATATTAAAGTATCCCTGTTAAACTAGCAACCTTTTAGCATTGGCGTTTCTCCATTCAGAAAAAAGGTTGGCATCTCAACTGACAGAAATATGGATTTGTAACTTGAAAAAAATAACATTTATCACCACTTAAAATCCATGAAATTAAAAGTGTTCTAGAGTAAGTGCCGAGGATTAGAAACTCCTTAAGGAACATGCAGGTGGAACAAGTCTTATTAATACCTCAGACATCTTGGGTCTGGTGTTCTCTTTGCTACTGGCGTAAGTGGCATGTCATTGTGCCAAGATCACAAGAGCTTTCCAAGAACCTCAGAAAAATGGTAATGGATGCCTATCTATCCGCCACAGAATTTAAAAAGATTGTCAAACCATTTGAAATAAATTAATCCACTGTAAAAAAATAAAAAATGGAAAAAGGTAAAATAATAGTGTTGTAATTTATAAAAGACTGCTCATAATTCCAAGACTATCCAGTCCAGCAAATAAAGCCCAAGAGATTATTTGATGCAAAATAAATTCTCCAAAAATCCCAAAATGTAGTTGCAGGATCTGCAGTTAACTAAACCACAGGTGATGTCGACGTGCATGCAAATCAAAAAAATGGTTGTGCAAAAACCAGCACTGGAGGGAGATATGCCAGAAAAAAGCCTATGCTTTCCAAAAGAACATTACAGCAAGACTACAGTTTTCTACTTAACATATAAAGGCAAGACCTTCTTAAACAATGTGCTATGAACTAATAAATCACAGACAGAAGAGTAAAAGTAGACATGTTTGGGGTAAACCGAAGATAGCATTTCAGGAGAAGAACCTCATACCAATTGTGAAACATAGTGGTGGGGATATTAAGGTTTGAAGCCGATTTGCTGCTTCTGGTTCTGTGCAGCTTGCAGTCAACTATGAATTCTGCATCATATCCAAGTGTGCTTGATAAGAATATTAGGCCATCTTCCAAAAATTATGGTTGAATGGGAAACAATGTTTTAACATGTTCATCAGAAGCAAACTAGCAAATCAATCAAGGAATGGAGGAAAAAAGAAAACGTGGCGAGTTATTACTAGCCTAGTCAAAGTCCTGATTTTAATCCCACTGAAATGTTCTGGGAAGATTTAAAATGGGCAGGTCCTTCAAGGAAACCTACAAATATCTTGCAAGTTAAGGAATTTTGCATGGATGAGTTGCTGAAGACAGAGATTAGTAGGCAGCTATGCAAACTCTGGCAAGAAATAATTTTTGCTAAAAAGGCAATACCAGCTTTTGAGACCAAAGTTGTATGTAAATTAATCCACAATACACCATTACATGTATTGATATTTTTGTTGAATAAAATCATGTTATATGTGAATTTTCCTTGAGTTATTTATTTATTACAGGTACTTATATAGCTCCATAAATGTATACATACTATATTGCCAAATGTATTGGGCCAGCCCTCCAAATCATTGGATTCAGGTGTTCCAATCACCTCCGTGGCCACAGGTGTATCAAATCAAGCACTTAGGCATGCAGACTGCTTCTACAAACATTTGTGAAAGAATGGGTTGCTTTCAGGAGCTCAGTGAATGCAAGCATGGTACCGTAATAGGTTGCCACCTGTAGAATAAGTCCATCTGTGAAATTTCCTTGCTACTAAATATTCCACGGTCAACTGTTAGTGGTATTATAACAAAGTGGAAGCAACTGGGAACAACAGCAACTCAGCCACGAAGTGATAGGCCACGTAAAATGAAAGAGCGGGGTTAGCGCAAGCTGAAGCGCAAAGTGCGCAGAAGTCGTCAACTATCTGCAGAGCCAATAGCTAAAGACATTCAAACTTTGTGCGGTCTTCGGATTAGCACAACAGTTCATAGAGAGCTTCGTGGAATGGGTTTCCATGGCCGAGCAGCTGCATCCCAAGGCTTATATCTCAAAGTGCAATGCAAAGTGTCAGATGCAGTGGTGTAAAGCACGCCGCCACTGGACTCTAGAGCAGTGGAGACGTGTTCTCTAGAGTGACAAATCACACTTCTGTGTCTGGCAATCCAAAGGACATCTGGGTTTGGCGGTTGCCAGGAGAACAGTACTTGCCTGATTGCATTGTGCTAAGTGTAAATTTTGGTGGAGGGGGGATTATGGTGTGGGGTTGTTCTTCAGGGGTTGGGCTCGGTCCCTTAGTTCCAGTGAAGGGAACTCTTAAGGCGTCAGCATACCAAGACATTTTGGACAATTTCATGCTCCCAACTTTGTGGGAACAGTTTGGGGATGGCCCCTTCGTGTTCCAACATAACTGCACACCAGTGCACAAAGCAAGGTCCATAAAGACATGGATGAGTGAGTTTCGGGTGGAGGAACTTGACTACCCTGCAAAGAGTCTTGACCTCATCCCGAAAGAACACCTTTGGAATGAATTAGAGCAGAAACTGCAAGCCAGGCCTTCTCGTTCAACATCAGTGCCTGATCTCACAAATGCGGTTCTGGAAGAATGGTCAAATATCCCCATAGACACACCTCTAAACCTTGTGGACAGCCTTCCTAGAAGAGTTGAAGCTGTTATAACTGCAAAGGGTGGGCCAACTCAATATTGAACCCTACGGACTAAGACTGGGATGCCAATAAAGTTCAAGTGCGTGTAAAGGCCGGCGCCCCGATACTTTTGGCAATATAGTGTATATATTTATCGTTCACATCAGTCCCTTCTTCAAGATGCTCATTCAAGTATATCACCTCTAAGTGCTAATGTCTACCTGTTCATATATGTTTATAAAAGTCATCAATTTCCATGGGGTGTACTTCTTTTTTCACAGCACTGTATATGTTAAAGTGAGCCTATGCTCAAATCAGGCATTCTTGTATATTAAGTATTAATATTTACCGTATTTTTCGCTCCATAAGATGCACTTTTTTCCCCGCCAAAAAGGGGGGGGAAAATATCAGTGCGTCTTATGGAGCGAATATGGAGCGGATGGTCCGGTATTTCCGCCTGTCACGAACCTGATTGGAGACTGAAATGACGAGGTCGGCCTCACTTGTGTCACTAGCCCTGACCCCACTGGAAGTGGAACAGGGGGTGTCTAGGGACCAGGGGGACAAGAGCGCCAGCAGATGTTGTTTGCAGCTCTTGCAGTTGGAGACTATGGAAGACTGGTGAACCTCCGATTCAGGCACAGTAGTAATATGCAGAGCTGGTATGGTGGGTCGCCAGGTGTGCACCAGAGCAAGACAGGAAGCAGGGATGGGAGACAGGAGCAATGTCATAGGAATAGCCAGGGTCATCAACAGGCAGACAGCAAGGTACCAAATCATAAACAAGCCAAAGTCAGGAGCAGAGCCGAAGTCAGGAACCAGTATCAAGCAGGAGAGTAATCAGAGTCAGATCAGGAACAAGCAGAGTCAGCAACAAGGAAATCACACACAGGAACGTGTAGGAAACAGGGAACAGCTGAAGACCAGTCAGCACAGGCAGAGGCACCTCTTAAATAGTCTGTCTGGCACCAATCTTCACTGTGCATGTTCGTGCATTTCTGTGCACATGCGCACGTCTATTCACCAGCCGTCTCACGGAAATTCCCTTACACCGCCTCCGACACCTTGTCAGAATACCAGACCGGCCGCTCAGCTCTTCTCTGCAGCAGGACCTTATCTGTTCCTCGGTCCAGTGCTGTGCAGTCTTCCCGCGCTGGCATTTTTAGTTTGGACAGCTGGGTGCCCACTGCGACCTGTCGTGTCCCAGAAGACATCGGGCCATTCACAAAGCGCGGCGCTTCTCGCGCATGCGCAGTGGGCACCCGGCTATCACAGCCGGGTGCCCACACTAAAGGGAGGACAACTCAAATTCAGTTACCGACTCCCCCTCCCTCCCCAAAGGTCCACAGTCTCTGGTCATCTCCTGTACTGTCTGCAGTCTCTTGATCATCCCCTGAACTGTCTGCAGTCTCTTGGTCATCCCCTGAACTGTCTGCAGTCTCTGGTCATCCCCTGTACTGTGTCCGCAGTCTCTGGTCATCCCCTGTACTGTGTCCGCAGTCTCTGGTCATCTCCTGTACTGTGTCCGCAGTCTCTGGTCATCTCCTGTACTGTGTCCGCAGTCTCTGATCATCTCCTGTACTGTGTCTGCAGTCTCCTGTACTGTGTGCGCAGTGTCTGGTCATCTCCTGTACTGTGTCTGCAGTCCATTGGTTCAGAATATTTTTTTTCTTGTTTTTCTCATATAAAAACTTAGGCGCGTCTTATGGAGCGAAAAATACGGTAAGTATTAAAAAATATTTTCATCTATTTATCTAGAGGAATTGTGGATAAATTCATCTTTAAAAATGACAACAAATGCACTGAAATCACACCTCCTTTCCCTTTACTTTATAGCCCAACTTCAGAGTCTCTGTTGTGATATTTGAGAATGAATTACTTCACAGCTCCTGCAGCTAGAAAGGTAATCGAGGGCTTGATTTATGCTTATTATAAGAGAAGGGGTTTACAAAAAATTATACTCACTAGGTGGATTCAGCATCTTTCCCCTGCTGCCTCTGCACTCAGAACTGAGCGATCAAACACTGCTGATCGCTCAGTTCTCCCCTCTGCTCTGAGCAGAGAGTGGTGTCTGTCAGCCCCTGACTCACTGCCCTGCCCCTCCAGCGCTCATGTCGAGCTGGGGAGGGAGCGGCTGGCTCAGTCTCCCAGCGGCACAGCTTAGAGGATGAGCCAGCTGCTGGACTATGTACTGGGTGGATCCCAACTGTAAAGTCGGGGTCTTTCCCAAGCTTAGACTGGCTGAGTGACGGTTGAAAATGGCTCACAGGAGTGCAAAATGAACCGCACTCCTGTAATCCATGAGAGACGTACAGACAAAAAAGTTTTGGCTATACTTCTCCTTTAAGACCCACCATGACATTAAAAATAAGGGGTTAAAAGGGCTACTAAGTGACTTTTAATAGTTCTGTTTTTGAAGTAACTTTTCCTGGACAGTAATGTAACCCACTTCAAACTGCATCTAAAGTAGACTGCCAGGAAACTAAAGTTGTAACAACATATATAAACATAATAACGGAGAGAAACAAAAATCTTTCATTTCTATCATAACAGCTTCCAAAAGAGTAACCATCTACATATATTTAAAATACCAAAGGTCTTTTTTTGGCATTACACTTGAACCACTTATGTTATTCATTGATGCTGTGTATGAAAGCAATTCATGGGAACACTGAAGTCTACATGCCTACACTCTATGTTTACTAAAGATTTTCTTCTACTGTAATAAAATCCTACAGACCACAGAGAAATCACTTCAAGTGAATTTGCTAGACGGCAAAAATAAAATTACTTGGTTGTTTAGTCCATGAAACCCACAAAAGTGTAAAAACGTATTGAAAACAACAAGATTTGGAGCAAGCACAATTCTTCCTTTGAGCAGACTGTTAATAGAAATTATTTTCACGTATATTTTTAAGAGCATGTGAGTGATTTTCATTAGATGTTTGCAGATTCTACTGGTATCAGTGTCAAGTGGCATATGGTCTGCAAATTTTAAATTAACTATAGACAAGCACATTGATACCAACAATATCTCAATATGACCTATAAACCATTCAACCACACACTTGCACACAGGGCACTTTCCTTTCCCTTGAAGTGTTACTAAACCCACAACAGTAAAATCAGTCTGTATATGCAGTAAAGCTTGCTTGTTATACTCACTGTGAAACCTAAGGGGTTAAGCCTCTGCACTGTGTAAAAAGGATGTTTGATCCTGTCTTCTCTGATCCTCCCCTCCTTCTAATGTCCCCCATCTATCTGCTGATAAAACAGAACCTTGGGGGCAAGCTGCACATGCTCAGATTGGTGTGATTTTTTTTTTTTCTTGGAAGAGTGCATGTGATCAGCACAGGGCCAATCAGTGCAGTCCTGACAGAGGGTCAGGGGTTATGCAGCCTCAAATGACAATTGAGGGAGAATGAAAACTCCTCTTACAATCTTTAACCAGTGCTCCACTCGACACTGATAGAAGTATTAAGACTGCTCTGATTCTGATGAGAAAAGAGAGGTATTTAGCAGTTTATATTTACTAAAATTTTTGCCTTTCCATGTTCTGTGTACTGTGCACACCAGATATAGTGAATGCGGGGTCCTGGGTTTAGTAACACTTTAAGTGTACTTACAGTTGTGCGCAAAAGTTTGCATACTCTGGCAGAAATAGTGAAATTTTGGCATTGATATTGCAAATATGACTGATCATGCCAAATGTATTTTATTTAAGGATAGTGATAATATCACATACTTGTTTGGCTCCTTTTAAATCATAATGAAACAGAAATTACCCAAATGCCCTGATCAAAAGTTTACATACCCTGGAATGTTTGGCCTTGGTACAGACTTACAAGGTGACACACACAGGTTAAAATGGCAATTAAGGGTTAATTTCCCACATCTGTGACTTTTTAAATTGCAATTAGTGTCTGTGTATAAATAGTCAATGAGTTTGTGAGCTCTCACATGGATGTACTGAGCAGGCTAGATACTGAGCAATGAGGAGCACAAAAGAATTGCCAAAAGACCCGTGTAACAAGGTAATTGAACTTTATAAAGCTGGAATAGGATATTACAAATATAGCCAAAGCCTTGAATATGCCAATCAGTACTGTTCAATCACTTATTAAGAATTGGAAAATTCAGGGATCTCTTGATACAAAGCCAAGGTCAGGTAGACCAAGAAAGATTGCAGCCACAACTGCAAGGAATTGTTCAGGCTACAAAGAAAAACCCACAGGTAACCTCAGTAGAAATAGTCTGCTCTGGAAAAAGATGATGTGCCTGTTTCAAGGAGCACAATACGATACTTGAACAAAAATGAGCTGCACAGTGAAGTTCCCAGAAAGAAGCCTTTACTGCGCCAATGCCACAAAAAAGCCCAGTTACAATATGCCCAAATACACCTTGACATGCCTCACTAGGATTTTTGTGGCATTGCCGAAGCTGTCTATTGCAAATCACTTCAATGCACAAAAACGTGCTGCACTTCCGGTTTCAGTGGGCTCTATGCAGTTATGTATTCATTAATAAAGGATTAAGTGTTTTTTATGAAAGGCAAGCAGTAAAAATACCTGAATTGAGTCGGCTATCATGCTTCTAACAGAAAGGGATAATCAGCACAAGAAGCCAGTCATTTGTGCTGCAGTGTTTATGTGCTAAAAAGGAACATAATGATAGAAGGAGAGATCAGAGTGATAACAAGATAAGCTCATTGGTGTCTTTCTTCTCCTTTAACTGTCCAGTCTCATGGTGGGGGAGACCCACGACTTGTGTTTTATAACTGCAACAAGGAAACTTTCTGCTAGACAGCTGCTGCGCAACAGAACTGTATAAATCTCAGGAATCGATAGAAATGTAAACCTATGGTCAGATAATGAGCTCCATAGGAGCCATTCCTGCCAAGAGAACACACGACAGGCTGGCTGCAACTAAGTTGTAAAACAAACAAATTAGGTACAATCAGCCTGCCCATAGATGGTTCGAATTTTGGATGGTCCCTGCTGAACCGGCCATCTATGGCTGGCTTTAGGAACGGTCTATATTCTCTCCTAGCAGCCAATAAGCTTTTACCTTTAGTTTTGATAGGACTGGAAAAAAAACAGGCTGTGTAGGTGGCACAGTTCTTCAGCCAGATACTTTATACATGAGAGCTAATCATATGAATGAATGACTCCTGTGTCTTTAACCACTTGCCTACAGGGCACTTTATACCCCCTTCCTGCCCAAGCCAGGTTTCAGCTTTCAGTGCTGTAGCACTTTGAATGACAATTGCGCAGTCATGCAACACTGTACCCATATGAAATTTTTTATCTTTTTTTTTTTTTAGACAGAGCTTTCTTTTGCTGATATTTAATCACCTCAGGGTTTTTTATTTATATTTGTTCTAAAGTTTTGTAAATAAGTGATTTTTCTCCTTCACTGATGTGCGCTAATAAGGCTGCAGTGATGGGCACTGATAGGCTACACTGATGGGCACTGATAGGTGGCACTGATGAGGAGGCACTGGTAGGTGGCACTGATGGGCATTGACTGGCATCACTGATGGGCACTGAAAGGCAGCACTCACATATGGCACTGATAGGCGGCACTGACTGGCACTGTTAAGAGGCACTGATAGGCAGCACTGATGCGCACTGACAGGCAGCACTGATGCGCACTGACAGGCAGCACTGACTGGCACTGATAGGTGGCACTGACTGGCATTGATAGGTGGCACTGAAAGGCAGCTCAGATGGGCACTGATATGTGGCATTGATGTGCACTGGTAGGCACTGATATGTGGCATTGATGAGGCACTGATGGGCACTGGCAGGTGGCATTGATAAGCACTGACAGCTGGCATTGATGGACACTGACAGGGGGCACTGATCATCAGGGCACACTGATCATCAGTGCCCTGATGATCAATGTACATGTCCTCTCTGTGGAATGCCGATTACCGGCTCTCCTCTTCTCTTGAGCTGTTAGCGTGACAGCTCGTGAGGAGAGAAATGCCGATAACCGGCATTTCCCTATTTACATGCAATCAGCTGTGATTGGACACAGCTGATTACATGACCGAACCGACATCTTCGGCTCTTTCCGTTGATCGGTGATCCGCTGTGTCCGAGGGACACAGTGCATCACTGATCGTCGTGCTCCTGGAGCCGCGCACGCGTTTAGAGTGGAAGGACGTCATATGACGTCCTCCCAGAATGAAAGAACCGCCTTGCGCCCGTCATTACCTTATATGGCAGGCGGGAGGTGGTTAAAGGACAAGTTCACCTTTCAGAGCATGTTACATATTACACCAATAGTTTGGGTGTAATGTGTAATATGCCCCCACTGCAAGGCTTGTCTACAGAAGCCTGATATTGCACCCCTGATCCACTGATCACAGATGCAATGCTTTGCAGTCTCTGAGGGAAAAAATAATAAGTGCACATTTTTTTTTTCTTTCAAAAATATGTACATTTATATTTTTTCCCAAAGGTGAACATGATCTTTAAAACACGAGGCATTATGGGATCTCATGCAGTGACCTCCTATACAATGTCATATTTTCAAATAAATGACAAATCCATAGGCTATAATAAACTATTAAAGAATATTTGCCATTTCTGTAAATGACAAAAAAAAAAAAATAGATTATGAAAGAAAGGATTATGTAAATTATAGGATTTCCTTTAGGTGAAAGTGTAGATACTTACTTAGCAAACTTGATACAGAACTGTGTAAAGTACTTTCTGGTAGATGCCAGGTTATCTCGAATAATGGGAACATTCTGCTTGATGTGTAGAATGATCGATGTAACATATGGGCTTTGATCCCCAACATGTTCCACATTCTGCCACTGCATCTATAAATGGATAGCAAAAACAGATTAACAGTAAATTGAGTGTAAGAGCCAACAACTAAAGGATGTAGTTAAACATGAAAACCGGACAAAGCATTAGCATCAGTAGTGGGAAACCCCCTAAATGACTTGCCATGAAAATAGTTCACTAAAGCAAATTATTCTTGTCAACACATTTCTGTAATGGTTTTAATCATAAACAACAAAAACAAACCAACAGATGAGTAGGGCTTGTAGGGATAAGAAGTGATGATAAGAAAGGGAAAAAGGCAATAAAAAGGTTAAAGAAATCCTATTAAGAACATTAAAAAATGCCAGTTCAGGAAAGTCAGGAAGTATCATTTCCCCAACATGGCCCCACTTCTCCTTGCAAGTCTGTCCTTAAGAAAAAAAAGAAAAAAAAAGTTCTGTCCTAAGTGTCTAGGAATGCCACAGTGCTAATTCTGTTATATAATACTTTCTACAATTTACTAATTACGCTAATATACCGTGAGCCGTAGGTACAGTCATTTTCAGTGTGGAGTTTCCAGAGAGCTGAAAATTCTTTGGACTTCTCTAGAGTAAAATTGTTGACAAAGGCTGCTCTAAGTTTGCCAGGATTGCTGATACCACATTCAATATGGTGGCACCCAGCAGCAGTCTCAGGGTTTTTGGATCTGTACATAAGAGAGGCTTTTTACAGATAAATTCCATGACTAAAATATGTTGAATGCACATATGACCTCTTGGGGAAATTGTTTTGGAAATAAATGGTCTGGTTACAGGGACTTGTTAAAGTGTGTGTCCAGCTAAAACTTTTCTTTTGTGTTTTAAAAGGTTTAGACTGCTATCTGTGGCTCCATTAGAATGGGTTTCATTCACTTTCTGCCACCCTGACAAAGGTTCTACTACCAGACAGGAAATCAGCTGAAATCTGCTACATATTGAGCAATATAAGGCTGATAAGGGTTCTAGCCTTCCCCCTACTTTAATTTAAAAAAAAAAAAAAAAAGAAATCTATTCGGGCTGTGTTACTGTTGCAGATGTACCCTGACTTCCAGAGCAGTGTCACCAGCACAGGAACAGAAAAATTTCTCCTTAATAGCCCTGAATAGCAGTAAAAACTATTTTTCCAAATCTAGCAAAAACTTTAAATCGGTCCTGACTAATCTATTATAATACATACTGAGGTCAATGTGTTTCTCAGATTTGTTACTGAGTTAATGGTAGTTTAGCAAAGATGAAAAAGAGAAGAAGATGCAAATTAAATACCAACAGGAGGTCTCAAGAAGGAACAGCAGAATTATAAGATGTTCAAAAGGCACAATGTCATAACAAAAGCTCCCATTTCTGAACTATTTTTTTGAGAATGCTAGTTCCATGGCTGTTCAAATAACACTACATTATGAAAAAACAGAGTGCAGGGATGTTGGATTCCTATCACCCGGGACATGTAGCTTCTTTCTACCTTTAGTCCTGTTGCGGGCAAGCAGCGAGCTCAGCTGTCAGGTGAAGCAATCGGCGGCAGCGCTGCCGCCGATTGCTTCACACAGTACCAGCCTCTCTCTGCCCACCGGAAGGGAGCGGACTTGTCTGCTCTTCTCCCTTCCCTCTAGCAGGCTCTGCTTGCCCATCTACGGGCCCGGCTCGCCGCCCGCTAGAGGGAAGGGAGAAGAGCAGACAAGTCCGCTCCCTTCTCCTCCTTGTGCTGACTCGGAAGTTACGTTATGATGTCACTTCCAGGTCCCCGCTGAGAGACTGTAATGCAATCCCAGGGAAAGAATGTAATATGGCTCGATGTGCACCACATTACATTCCGTGGAGCAGAGGGGAGACATCCAGGGTCTTTTAACACCTTGGATGTCTCAAAGAGAACTTGTTATACATTTTTTTTTTTATTGTAAACATGAAAAGTTACACCCAAGCACATATCATCCCCCCCCCAAAAAAAATATTGAGGCCCCCACATGTACAAATGTAAATGCACACACTGGGGCGCCTACGCATGCAACCGTTGATTGCAACATATCGCCGTGCACGCCAGAATGAGAGCAATAATTCTAGCACCAGATCTCCTCCGTAGCACTAAACTGGTGACCTATAAGGAGCTTTAAAAATGTCGACCTATAGAAAATATAGGGTACTGAAGTTCATCGCCATTTCATGAGCGTGCACAAATTTAAGGTTTGACAAGTTGGATATCTACTTACTCGCTGCAACCTCATCTTTTATATTTTACAAAAAAATAAGGCAATTTATTGCTTTTTTGTGCCCTAAAATTAACTTACTTTTTTATTTTATTTTTTACTGAAATTTTGTGGCAATATCATGCGACATAAAAAATTGGAACTACCACTATTTTATTCTCCAGGGTCTCTGCTTTCAGAAAATATATCATGTTAGGGGTTTTATGAAATCTTCAGGCCTAAAATGATTTTTTTAAATGTGTGCAAAAAACACAAAAACGCCTCTGGCAGCGAAAATGCAAAAACGGCTCTGGCAGCGAAAGGGATAAAGTATAAGCCCTGACCCACCCTTTCCTGATCAGTAAGCCAATCGGTGCTCATTACACTGCAAGGTCTCTCCCCTCCCTGCTAGTCCCCAGGTGTGGTGCTGAAGAGAGGCAGGGAGGGGAGGAGGAGATAAACAGCGCAATGTTAAAAATATTACACGTTTAAGTCGCCATAAAGCCTCTTTTGTGTTTAAAAGCCCCAGACATTCCTAAAATCACCTCCGATTTAAATACGGTTTTGGTTACTTTTTTTTTTTTTATCTGGACAAGTAGATTGTCATGAGGGACAAGTAGATTGGGGCCCCGATTTAGTCCCTGGACAAGTAGTTTTCTTAAAAATTTCCACACCCCTGAGAGTGCATCCTGTCTAACCAAAGAGACAAAGGTGCATTCATTCCTATTTTATGTGTAAAAATAACAAAACTAAATTAAAATGCTCAAATAGTCACTTACTTACAATAGGTGATGAAGCAAGATAACATTAACAGTAAATAATTTCAGGCCTCTGCAGCACAAAGGGATTATTTACAGTGTCAGTAATTACAATACCATAATTTATGTCACTTTCCTTTCCAATTTCTTAATACCAAAATGTTTTGGTTTCTTTTTTACTGAACAAAGCGGTTGGAAAATAGCAGTAGCGAAGATCCAGTTTATCATCATTTTCTACTGCTTACAGAAGAAGCAGCATGAAAATCCATTAAGGGAAAGCAGAACTTTTCTGTGGCTGTTTTGTGTGTGTCAGAATACATTCTCTCATCAGACCTCAAACGATCTCCCCCCTTGTGTTTTGCTTGGGTGCATTCCAGATAGTTTTCAAATGGATAGAACTAACATGTATAGCAAGAAGTTAGCAACTACGTTTGCTACCTGCTGATTGCAATTTGTCTACAAATGTAGCTTCCTGCCTTAGCAGAGACTATCAAATAGGGTGATTTTATGCAAAGGGTGGAAAGGGCAGTTGCAGAGAGGCCAACTATGGCACTTCTGTGACCTTACTTATCCTTTCCAAATATACCATTAATAAAGTAAGGTGATAGGCAGATAAAAGAAAGGAGTGATCAGGCTATGAGTGGAGTAGGAGACACAAGATCCTGTTTCCACACGCTTTATTTTGTTCCTTCCTTTCATGAGCTTTAAAACTGGCAAGAAGGAGAATAGGGTTCATGTTCACTGCAGCTGACAAACTCACATTCAGGAGCTTTTCTGTGTTTTTCTTCAGCAGCCCCTGAACTCTCCCTAATGTTTTCCTATGTGTCGGCCTTTTGGCTAAGATCAAGTGTAGTATCTGTTCTTATCAGTGTCCAGTGGGGGTGCTCCCGGCCATTCTAGCTTTGCGGGGATGGCTGTTGTATAGTACCCTCACTGGTATGATGGGGGTCTGGAAGGCTAGTACCGGGGGGACAGAAAGCGTGGCGCCCACGAGTAGAAGCTGGGGCCCGTGAGTAATTCCCCCGAGAAGACCGGAAGGATCCAGTACCTCCTGATTTGGACGGATCTACCTTGTCTGGCCAGGGTCGGGAAGGCAGAAAGTCCGCAAACCAAGTGCCCCCTGAGTAGACGCCCTCAGGGGTGCCACTAGTAACACCTGGGTGTGGGACCCCACTGTGTGAAGATGGCACATGGTCACTGCGTTTACACTCTTTTTGCACAGCGCCCTTCGGACCAGGCCTTTTGGCTAGAATCAGGGCAATTTTTGCTACAGGCCTCAGGGCCTGGTCTGTGCACTATTTGGCACAGCCACTTTTTTATTTTCTACTTATTTATTTAATTTATTTACACTCCCACATTTTGTCACTTTTTCTTACTTTTTGTGTGTGTTTTCCACGGATGGAGGGTGTGGGTCCTCGGGCCAGCCCTGAAGTCTAGGGGGAGGATGTGTGGCCTTTTGTTTCCTTCCTCCCCTGATCCCTAGGGGGTTTTCTCTTCGGGAGAGCCCCCTGACCAAGTACTGGGTGTTTGGCTTCGGCTGGACACAAGGAACGGTGGTCCACCAGGCCTTTTGGCCAGGAGGACCAAATGGGAACCTTGTCCCTGTCAGGAGCTTCGTGCCTCGGGGGATCAGGGTAGTAGTCCATCCCCTTTGGGGGAAGGGCAAAGCACACCCCTAAGTGCACTTTTTCATGTGGTGTTCGCACTTGCACTTTTTTTGTGATCACTTACGGGTTTTTCGTTCTAGTTTGCACGTTTGCGGACTTAAAAAAAAAAAAAATGTTTTCCTATGTGTCCATGTACACATCGTCGCTTACAATCGTTTACAGGCAGTTGAGCTTACAGTCGTTTTTTTTGACCGCACCAAACTTGCGTTCAGGAGTAGATTTTATCAGCGTTTCAAACGCCAGTAAACACGGCTAACCATGTTTATAAGCGTTTGCGTTTAGAAGCGTTTTTTAACTGTTCCTTATCCAGATGCGGTCTCGAGCCTTTTTTCATCTTCAGAAATGCATGCAAAGTGTTTTCCATGTATTGAAATGGATCTAGTACACCAGCGCAGTCAGTTCCAGGTTTTGCGAAGGAAAAAATGGTAGAACGCGCAGCATTATGCTCATGATGGGATCCATAGTGAATACAACCAGAAAAACAGGTCATCTAAACACATACTGCTCTCTCTGCTTCTGCTCTCTCTATTTATGCACTCCCTAAGATCATATCATTGTAATTACGCACACCTGTTTATGCAGAAAGATAAGAACAGAAGCAGCTTGCAGTCTGAGTGTAGTATACTAATGTATTCATTGTGGTGAAAAGACAAATGGCAACTCACAATGTGTCAGTTAAAATCAGGCTCATCATACAGTATAGTAAGAGCTTCCAGTGGACAGTCTCATAACAATAGGGAACCTCAGACCAGCATAGAAACACTGGGTGGCTGGATACAACTGCAGGACCAAGAGAGGGGCGCCAAACTTAAGTGCAGCATTAAATGTACTGAGAAACACTAGAAACATTTGAGTACTGTCCGTGATAATTTATGGACCTTGAAGAAGAGGGCATACCCCGAAAACTTGTCCTGAAAAACAGTATGTTAGTGCAAATAAAAAAAGTATCATGAAAAGTACTCAATTGTTTCTGTCACAAGTGCACTAATATGGCTATCACCTCAAGTGAGAAACACTAGTAAATTCACAACTCCGATGAAAAGAAAAAAAATGGCACTTTTCATATGTAATCCATAAGCAAGGCCACCCCAGCCTCTTTCTCAAGCTGATCTTTGCTTCAGAAAGAAGCTTTGGCAGCCTTGAAATGCATAGCTCTACCCCTGATGTGCCAATGATGTCACTTCCGGCCTGCTCTACATTCCACAAAAGCCCTCCGCCATCTTGTTGGTTACCACTTCCTCATCTAAGCTGATGTCTGGACTTTCCATATTGCAAATTTATCAAGAGGCTCCCCATTCCAGATTCACGAGCTGAATGCTCACGGATTACATACAATAAGTGCAATTTCTTCATCTCATGTGATTTGCCAATTTACTAGTGTTATGCAGTACAAATAATGCTGCACTTAGTTTTGACCCCCCGTGGTGTGTTCTGATCCTGTAGTCCTGCAGGTGTATCCATCCATGCACCCAGTGTTTCTATCCTGGTCTGAGGTTCCCTGTTGTTGTGAGACTGTCCACCGGAAGCTCTTATGAGCGTGATTTTAAATGGCAACGTGAGTTGTTGTCTTTTCACCACAATAAATACATTAATATACTACATTCAGATTGCTCCCTGCTGTTCTTATCGGTTTGCCTAGAAATACTTCAGTCTCTTCAGAGGTGCTGCATCTGGTGCATTAAGATCAATGGAATGTTATACTGGACGCTCTAACTGGACTCTATGAACCTGTTCTGCATAGATATTAAAAAAAAAAAAGAGAGAAATCCTCTGCAAGGTAATGTCATAATGTGCTAGCATGCATTGCACACTGGAACATTATGAAGGACTTGCCTTAAAATGAAACCCCCCAGCAGTGTACTGTCAGCGCTGCAAAGGCTTCCATCTTCACCCAGTCTTCCTTCTGGGTTCTCGAGCTCCGGCCGTCTGACTGGCTGAGCTGTGATGACGTCACTCCCATGCATGCACATGGGAGTCCCAAGCCACGGCACAGTAGTCTTAAGGAATAGCACAGGTATGCGGTTCCTTCAGATCACATGCGCCGGCTCTTAAAAAGAACGAATATCTCTGAAACGGTGCACATTTAGGAGATATTAATTTCACCTACAGGTAAGCTTTATTATAAGCTTACCTGCAGGTAAAAGTATACAAAAAGAGTTAACTACCACTCTATTGTACACACGACACTTATTGCTCCATATACCCCATTACTGTTTATACAGAAAAACAGCTTTATAATGGTGTGTTTCTCAGGAAAGGGAAGTAGCACTATGCAGAATGACAGGCTATCCAGTCCCAGTGAACTACAAACTCAAAAATGTGCCTGCAAGGTATCATGGGAGATATCTATGAAACTCAAATTAAAATTAATTACACACCTACAATGTGTTCTCGATAATATAAGCACATGTTGCCTTGAGTCACTCTAGGAACAGCACTGCCAATTAAAGTGGTTCTAAAGGCAAACATTTTTTTTTTACCTCAATGCGCTCTTTGCATTACGGTAAACCTTCCAACCTCTGTTCCATAACCCCCCAAAAACACTTACAGAACCCTCTCGATATGGTGCTGTCCCATGTGCAGCAGCGATGCTTCTCTCTTCCTACATTCTCAAGAGCCTCTGAGTGAAGCAGGAGCCATAGACTCCTGCTGCTGTCAGTCAAATCCGGTGAGTCTACTGACGCACACAAACCAGCTTGCAAATGCAAAAACACAAGTTCCCCCTTCAGCGGCCACTTGCTGAAGGGGTACTCAGAGAAAAGAAGGAGCCAAGAGTGCCAGTGGGGAACTCCAGAAGAGGAGGTAAGGGACCGGTCTGTGCAATACCACTGCATAGAGAAGGTAAGTGTAACAGGTTTATTATTTTAAAGTGTTACTAAACCCAGACCCTGCATTTACTAAATCTGGTCTCCCACAGTACACACAACATGGAAGTGCAAATATTTTAGTAAATTTAAACTGCTTAATACCTTTTCTCATCAGCAGTATATAGAAGTACTGTGTACAGCTGAGCAAGGATTAAAGCTTGTAGGAGGAGTTTTCATTCTCCTCTGACTGTCCTATGAGGCTGCATAGCCCCTGACCCTCTGTGTGGACAGTGCTGATTGGCCCTGTGCTGACCACATGAACTCACCCAAAGAAAAAAAAAAACCTCTCTAGCAATACACACTAAACTGAGCATGTGCAGAGTGACTCCTAGAGCTCTGTACTATCAGATAGATTGGGGACAGTAGAAGGAGAGGATCAGAGAGGAGAGGATCAAACAGCCTTTTTTGCACAATGTGGAGGAATAACCCCTTAGGTTCCACAATGAGTATAACAAGCATGCTTTACTGCATATACAGACTGATTTTACTGTTGTGAATCTAATAACACTTTAATGTCAGCACAAAGTCCTGGGTGTGACCAAAACTGGAAAAAAGGGGAATCTCCCAGTGAGCACAGAAACCCACTTTCCTAAATATATAGGCTTTAAAGAACTCAGGCTTTTTCACTTCAAAATATAACTAAGCTTACGGAACCTAGGTAACAAGGGCAAATGAGCCATAATTGTACATACCTTGCTCATTGCAGTAAGTGCTGGATCACAAGCAGAATCTAAATCTTGCACAAGAAGCTGAATACTATTTGAAATTACACTGGAAAAGAAACATTTTATTATTTCACTAAAAAAAAAGTTACATTATTCTAAAAATTTAAATAAATAAATAAAACATATCTTGTTAGTTTCCACATCATGGTACACATGTTTAACTCCTGTACACCTTGTTCAAATGATGCTCGTCAGGATACCTCATTTACATACAGTTGGGTCCATATATATCTGGACACAGGCACAATTTTTTTTTTTTTTTTTCAGGTATTTACCAAAACATATTTAAGCTGTAGTTAGATAATGGATATGGGCTGGAAGTGCACACTCACAGGTTTAATATGAGGGTATGTACATCCAAATTGGAGGTAGGAATTACAGCTCTTAAGAGTAGCCATCCCCCCCCCCTTTTTCAAGGGACCAAATGTAATTGGACATATGAATATAATCATAAATCAAATGTTCATTTTTAATATTTTGTTTAGAATCCTTTACTGGCAATGACTGCCTGAAGTCTGGAGCCCATGGACATTACCAAAGACCAGGTTTCCTCCTTTCTGATGCTTTGCCAGGCTCTAACTGCAACTGTCTTTAGTTCTTTGTTTGCCAGTCTTTCTGCCTTTCTTTTTGCCTTCAGCAAGTGAAATGCATGCTCAATTGAGTTGAGACCAGGTTATTTGACTCGGCCATTGCAGAATATTCCACTGCTTTTCCTTCAAAGCTCCTTTTGCAGTGTGTTTTGGATCATTGTCCATCTGTATTGTGAAGCGCCATCCAAACAACTTTGCTGCATTTGGCTGAATCTGGGCTGACAGTCTATCTTTAAACACTGCAGAATTAATCCGGCTGCTTCTGTCTTCTGTCTCATCATCAATAACCCAGTGCCACTGGAAGCCATACATGCCCATGCCATCACACTGCCTCCACCTTTACAGATGACGATGTGTGCTTTGGATCATGAGCTTTTTCAAGCCTCCTCCACATTTTTTTCTTCCCGTCATTCTGGTACAGATTAATCTTAGTTTCATCTGTCCAAAGAATGCTTTTCCTGAACTGGTCTGGCTTTTTTAGAAGTTTTTTTGGCAAAGTCTAATCTGGCTTTTCTATTCTTCAGGCTTATGAATGGTTTGCACCTTGTGGTGAACCCTCTGTATTTGCTCTTCTGAAGTTTTCTCTTGATTGTAGACTGACAATGATACGCCCACCTCCTGGAGAGTGTGCTTCACTTGTGAATGGGTATTTCTTTACCATAGAGAGGATTCTGCAATCATCCGCCACTGTTGTCTTCCATGGACGTCCACGCCTTTTTATATTGTTGAGCTTAACCAGTGAGTTCTTCTTTCCTCAGAATGGGCCAAACTGTTGATTTGGCCACTCCTAATGTTGTTGCTATCTCTCTGATGGATTTGTTTCATTTTTGAAGCCTTACAATGGCCTGTTTCACTTCCATGGACAGCTTCTTTGAACGCATGATGTAGGTTCAAAGTAATAGATTCCAAATGCAAATACCACACTTCGAATCAACTCCAGACCTTTTACCTGCTTAATTGATGAAGAAATAATGAAGGAATAGCCCACACCTGGCCATGAAACAGCTTTTGATTCAATTGTCCAATTACTTTTGATCCCTTGAAAAAGGGGGGATGGCTACTCTTAAGAGCTGTAATTCCTAAACCCTTCCTCCAATTTGGATGTACATACCCTCAAATTAAACCTGAGAGTGTGCACTTTCAGCCCATATCCATTATACAACTGTAGCTTGAAAATTGTTTTGGTAAATACCTGAAAGATCTAAAATTGTGCCTGTGTCCAAATATATATATGGACCTAACTGTATCTTTCATGATCAACGTACGGCACATAAATCACAAAGGCTAAAAAAATAATGATCCCACATTGCTGGATGTCATATGAACCATCAGTACCTTCACTATTCATTAAACATGACACGAGAAGAGGAGTCCATCAAAACTAGTTTCTAAACACACAAAATATGACACGTAGATGGAACAGGAAAATGCAAAGCTGGTGTTGGTTATGTTGGGGGGGGACGGGGGGGAATTTACCAGTCCTGCATAACGTACACATATTTAGCCTCATAATAGAATTTGAAATAAAAACAATGGATATTTACATTGTACCCTAAATGACACATTCAGCAATGCTTTTGTGCAGATGGCAATAATCAGCTTATCATTTAAGTCCATTCAAGAAATAAACAGTGATTTAGGGCTGTAGATGTTTTCCTATTATAGTGATATGTGAAGAATAATTTTGATATATTTGTAAATTTCTAGAGAGTAAAATATGCAGGACAAACATATTTTGGGGTCTATAGTTGCAAGATCTCTGCACATCCGGCCTGCTGTTCCGGTCCTGGGTGATGGTGTGCGTTTCCCACACTCTTTAGCAGCCATCTTGGATCATTTTGGATTGTATCCCCATATTTTACATAGACTGTGACCATGCACTCCCCTCCTTTGCAGTGGTGCAATGAAGGCTGAAAAACAATATGCATGCACACATGGAATTTTATGACCCTGGGGAGGTGTGACCCATCCCTATGGTGGTGAAGGACTCGGGGTATTCATGCCATAGTTAGTTCTTTATAAATAGTTGCGCTTTGGGTGTCCTAAAGATTTTGGCACTTTCACATGGGTGGTTAGATTTCAGCTTTTAGCTGCGGTTAGAGGAACCTAATTACTGCAGCTAAATGCAGACTATGCATCCCTATGGCTCCATTCACACACTGCATTTAGCAACATTTTCATAACATACGGTTTTATGCGTTTAGAAAAAATAAAGTTGACAGCATCCAGGAGTGATGTACTGCAGCCATCTGTACATAAACACAGTTAATCGCAGTACAAAGAAAAATAAGTAAACAGTTGCTATTGAAAAGGCACGTATTTACTACCGCAGCTAAATTCAGCCGAATGTAAATGCATGTAATCGCAGATAAACACAATGTACAAAGCACAAATGGTCTCTGTGCAAGGAGTGTTGGAATTTAAAAAAAAAACCCAAAAACATGCATTTACAAGCAGCAGAACAACTGCCTGTGTGAATGAAGGCTTATGCTCTGAGGAAGGGGGTGTGGTCCTCAAAACGCATAAGCCAGCTAGGATCCTGGCGGTGTCCTCCCCTGAGTCCTGGAGTACACTGTGAGAGGAGCAACCGTGACGTTATGTCTTGCTTGATATGCTGTTTTAATCACTTGGTTTGTGAGTATGTCTAGTTGTGGATTATTAATAAATGATGTATGGGATAATGCACTAGGGTGGTGCACCCTCTTTTGTGTGTATTTTCAAACTATACGATTCTGGGGCTTTCCCAGTCCTGAGAGGGCAGCAAGGTTTGATGTGTCCCTGCTCCATGTTGAAAATAATATAAACATGAAGAACGGTCATCAGACTGATCATCTCCTGTACTATGTCCGCAGTCTCTGACCAACTCCCGAGGAAGGGGTGGGGCAAATTTATATAGTGGGGTGCCCGATTTTAGTCTTGCCTAGGGCAGCACAAAACCAATATATACCACTGGCTGTGCATACTGGCACATTTTGGCTAAAATCTTTTGGGGGGACAAATTTTGATCAGCAGTTTACTTACAAATTAACTGTGTATATCTTATGCATACTGAACAGTATAACACCCATAATATAAGATGATAGGATGTAGGCAGTTATTTCAGCTGCTGCCTATTTCTGCTCAACGTCCTTATTTTTGCATTTTATGTTATAAGCCCCACCTTTCTCAAATTTTGTTTACCACACCTACATTTCACAGCAGCCTACGTTTTCAATTTCTTCTCACTCTACAAACTATTCTCCTAAGCAGAAATCATTGTCTGAGATTGCAATTAAGTGAAATGGATGTATGTGCTAAGTATATAGGAATGCAAGGTGGGGTGTGCTGAGTAAGTGGTGTGTATGGTAGGTTGTCCTGTTGCTACATTGTGCTGTAGGTGACTCCAGATTGACTTATGTGCACTAAACTACTCTGCACATGCCACACTGTTCCTTTCTGAATTCTTTGTGTTATATTTTCTTAATAGACAGCAGCAACTTGTACTACTGTCAAATTCCAAACTCTATGTATGGTCTGTGAAATTGTATGTACACAGACACATCCATTTTTATGTACATACAGTATATAGGATGTGTTTCCTGCCAGTACTGGACTGCCATCTCTTTGTTGACCAGGAAACAGCATGCAAACGAATGTGCTTTGTGTAGGACAACTATAAAATTAATCACTGGTGGTCACACAGTGATTTCCAATATTTTAACGGCCTCAGTAAAATATAACTAACAAACAGAATCTGTGCAAGCTTACGTGCTGAAAGTATCCATCTCCGCTGTCAGGTTGATCCTTTCTGTCAATGTCACGTCAACTTTTTCTTTTAGCTTCTCTTCCAACTATTAAAGGGGAAGTATAATGGTTTTAAAGCAAATAATATGTAAATATTTAAAAAGTTTACATGTTCATGATATTTTATATCACGTTTGATAATCTTCCATAGAATTTTATATGAAATCTTCATTATATATTTGAATAAAAAATGGTGCATCCACAACAGCCAGTTTAGGAAGCTTGCTGGTCTTTCTAGTAAAGAAAGACCAGTATTGCCAGTAAACTTTGAGGAACTTTGGGGGTGGTATTAGCCACCACCCGTCCGGCCGTTGTATATAAAAAAGCCGGACAGTGGCAGTGCAGGGTCGAGTGGCTGTTTATAATCGGCCTCCCTGCCCCCTGCTTGTGCGCGCTCCCTTGGAGCGTGCAGCACCACAATCCGGTGCCCGCTGTGTCCTCCGGAAACAGTGGCACACCGATCGTCGTACAGGACCTCTGTGTGAGGTCCCGATCATGTGATCACTGATTGGCCAATCAGTGATCACATGCAGAGTAGTAAGCAAGATGTCACTTCTCACATCATTATTTACTACGTGCGAAATCTGTGAATGATCACAGAGGTCACATGGTACAAGGCTATTCACAGCAGCCTTGTACCATGTGACAAGCTGTGACCAATCACAGCCCACACAGTAGTTCTCAATGGCTGCAAGAATGCAGCCAGAGAGAAGGAGAAATGATTGCTTTTACAGCCTTTATGGGTGTAAAAGCAATCAGTGTACAAAAAAAAAAATCTTCATCACCCCCCATAAGTAAGACAGTGTTACCATGGGGACACTGTACTGCTGGGGTGACAGTATGTAAAAAAATAAAATAAAAAAAATATAAAAACATTTAAAAAAATTTTTTTTTGAAAATGTTTAAAAATTATAATTTTTTTAACTAAAAAGATAACTGAATAAATTTTGGCCAAGATGTATAATGAAATATTATTTATTTGCAAACTTTTATAAGAAAAACACTTTTTTTCAAAAATTTTTTCATTTACATAGCAAAAAACATAAAAATCCCAGTGGTGAATAAATACCACCAAAATAAAGCTTTATCTGTCTCAAAAAAATGCTAAAATATTCATATGGGTACAGTGGTGCATGACTGCGCAATTGTCATTCAAAGTGTGATAGCACTGAAAGCTGAAAATTGGCCTGGACAGGAAGGGGGTAAAAGTGTCCGGACATGAAGTGGTTAATAAATTAGTAAGGATGAGTGCAGCAGACAGCTACAATAAATACAAAGATGAATGTATCTTTATCTTTACTCTTTTATCTGCCAAAGGATGCTAGCCATACACAAGTAGAATTTATTTGAAAATTTTAATTATCAGAGTGTGTGTTTGATTTTCTAATGGTTAGTGCGATCAAATCAACAATCATTTAAACTGATGTGACAAGAAAATATAAAAGAGAAAGAACGAAAAATTGTATTCAATTCGTTCCAAAATGGAATGTTTAAAGCAAACAAAATCTTGAAGTACTTTCAAATGACATTCATCAAGCGCCTACCAAACACTGAAATATCAATTTTGTGTGAAATAACACTTTATCAGCAGCCTGAAATATTCTGTTCTAACTGAAGCCAGCTATAGATTCGAATTTTAGCTGGTCCTTGATGAACCAGCCAAGATTCAAACCTATTGGCTATAGCTTCCAGCAGTGACCATTGTGTTCTGCTGACAGGGACGTTGATGAGGAAGAGAGCTATATTCTTTTCCTGCAATCCGTGGTTGCAGGATAGAAATCTTCATCATCTGTGGCTTTGCCTTAGATTTTTCAACAATTTTATTTTTAGCGAATTAAAAAATACATTTCTTTCTTAGAAATACAGAGTATATGTAGAAAGAAAACACTTTTAAAAAGCAAACTGAATCACATAAAATCCTCCTGCGCTCTAATGGTAAATGGTGAATAAAAACTAAGAAGCAGCCAGCATCTATCCCGCACCAAATAAGGGTAATGAATAGAATATAAAGTTGATGCAGCGCTAAAAAGACTAAAGACAAAATATAAATATAATGAGACCAGATAATAATAACATGACCCAGGATCGCCTGGGGATACAAAAGACAATAGCCCTTATGAGACTAATAACGGTGATAAGTGGTTTAGGTGCAGGCTAAGGTGTCCATAGTTCATACAGGGGTGTAAGTGAATCACAGCACACTCCAAAAAAGGTGACCCCGGGCAGTCTTGCTGCAGTGGCCTCTCACCTCCACTCCACGACCCTACAGGGCCATAAAGCGTAATGTAGATCACCACGAAATCCTCCAATAAGAACTCTTAAGATGAATGAATGAACAGGAACAGATTTCCTCCAAGCCAGTGGATGCATAGAAGGCACTCTCCTCCGATATCACAGCCGCTCATATGCCCATAAATGAGGAGATAAACACAATCCTCATAGTGTATTACCGCTTTATTTGAGTATAAACAGCAAACAAAGAAAGGAAGGTAATCCACTTACATAAAAACGGCTTGTATGGAGATGCAATGCTGGGTGTAAGCAGGATCAAAAAGGTGCACCAAGATGGCGTCCCGCCGGAAATGCGTCACCACGCTATTGCCGTCGACGCGTTGCGTCACGTACCTCGTGACTTCATCAGGGTCCTGATGAAGTCACGAGGTACGTGACGCAACGCGTCGACGGCAATAGCGTGGTGACGCATTTCCGGCGGGACGCCATCTTGGTGCACCTTTTTGATCCTGCTTTACACCCAGCATTGCATCTCCATACAAGCCGTTTTTATGTAAGTGGATTACCTTCCTTTCTTTGTTTGCTGTTTATACTCAAATAAAGCGGTAATACACTATGAGGATTGTGTTGTGTTTATCTCCTCATTTATGGGCATATGAGCGGCTGTGATATCGGAGGAGAGTGCCTTCTATGCATCCACTGGCTTGGAGGAAATCTGTTCCTGTTCATTCATTCATCTTAAGAGTTCTTATTGGAGGATTTCGTGGTGATCTACATTACGCTTTATGGCCTGTAGGGTCGTGGAGTGGAGGTGAGAGGCCACTGCAGCAAGACTGCCCGGGGTCACCTTTTTTGGAGTGTGCTGTGATTCACTTACACCCCTGTATGAACTATGGACACCTTAGCCTGCACCTAAACCACTTATCACCGTTATTAGTCTCATAAGGGCTATTGTCTTTTGTATCCCCAGGCGATCCTGGGTCATGTTATTATTATCTGGTCTCATTATATTTATATTTTGTCTTTAGTCTTTTTAGCGCTGCATCAACTTTATATTCTCTTTAAAAAGCAATTCACTACCCTTGGGAGCAATGCAAAGTGAAAAAAATGTTCTCAAGAAGGTGAACGACTAAACTGGCTTTATAACAAGTCAATCAAAGTCTGCTACTCACTTGCTGTGTTGTAGCCAGGCAGTACTCTGCTGTACTCAGTATACTGCATATCAGGCAAAGCTCTTCGGTGGTGAATTTGGCAACTTCTGAGCCTTCTTTTTCCTTCAGAAGACTGGTGATAGTAAGGCCTGTGCTGCTGCTACTGGTTCTGCACAAATACACATAAATAAAATATATAAATAATACTACATATATAAATCAAACACAGTACCTAAAAACCGAAAAAAGAAACCCACAAAGCTATACAGCAAAAATATAGGCAAAAGGTGAAACCAAATAGTGAGCTAGTAATGCATTCCAGCACACTGCAGAATGTTCACTCAATTTATCTTAATCAGAGTTCTTGGTAATACACTGGAGCCAAGGCAAACACAGACCTCCTCACGGGTCAGAAGGAGGGCACTTCCTAGAGCATGTGCTATGTAATGTCCAACACCACCAATCACATCCAAACTTTCAAGGCAGAACTGAATCTGACTGGTGGCTGTGAAAACACCTTGGACAGCAAGAAAGGTGTTCAGGCATCACAAGCAGACACCTGATTACTCATTTATTCTAGGATAGATTGATGCATAACAGGATTGTTTCGGTGGAAAGATACAAGCTCTCCACAGGAATGAATGAGATATGTATGCATTCATTCACCCAGTTCAAAAGTGGCTTTGTGGCGTCGTTCATGCTATTCCACTGGGTCAGGGACAGGTGAGGTGGCAGGAGGTACCAGAGGCAAGCTACAAAACAAGTGTAATTATACAATATATGTATTTATACTTTAAAGCAGTTTCCATTCTCTCCAGACCTTCTGCATCAACCAGACCATTTCATATTAAGATAAAGTTAACTTAATACTTACAACCCTATCATTGTTGTATTGTATTTTAATGTATAAAGTTTTTTTCGTGCCACTTTAAAGCTGTACTTTATAAGGTAAAAATAACACAAAGTTTAATATCGCAGAGCAACCAATAGGATATAAACTTTCATCAATCTCAATATACTAAACTACTGAGAGCTAAAATCTCAATACCAACCAATCCATGTCGCTGCTTTTTGAATTAAACGGGTAGAAGCCATTTACCTAACTTTACATTGAAACATTGACAAAAACTACCAAAAGCACATAACCAAAAGGAGAAAAGTGAACCTTCCACTTTCCTGACGTACATACTTGGTCAGGTCAGTAAAAAATAAAGTATTGAAGTCAGAGGGGCATAAAGTATTGAAGTCAGAGGGGCATAAAGTATTGAAGTATTGAAGTCAGAGGGGCATAAAGTATTGAAGTCAGAGGGGCATAAAGTATTGAAGCCAGGCATAAAGGGCAGAGGGGCATAAAGTATTTTTTTTTTTAATTTAAATATTTAATTTTTCATATTATTACAAAAATTCCATAAGAAGAGACACAATACATATAAATATTCATTACATTTCTACTTTGCCCCTTCTAATACCTCTTTTCTTTCCCTCCCCTCCCAACCTATTTCTACCCTCCTTCCCTCTCCCTCCCCTCTGCAAGTTCTCCAATCTCTCAAGGCCCAATAACTTTAAGTGACTTCCTAGTTTAAAGTTTTCTATATTTCTCTTTCAATACTGATTTTTCCCATTTTTCCCATCTCGTATAGTATATTCCCAACCTATCTTCCTGCATATAGTAGGATTTTTCCATTCTACTAATCTGATTTACTCTATTGATCCAGTCTTCCTCCTTCGGGGCCTCTGTTTTCTGCCAGAACTTGGGTATCAACCCTTTTGCAGCATTTAAATAGTACCATACGCCTGAATCTTTATATTTATTTACTGTTGTCTGAACATTATGTAGGAGACACATCGTTGGGTCTAACCCTATGTCATTTCCAGTTATTATTTCTATTAATTTAACTATTGTCTTCCAGAAAGCCTGAATTTTCGGACAATGCCACCATATGTGAAACACCGTGCCCATCTCCCCACATCCTCTCCAACACATTTTTGAACTCTCCCCACTCATCTTGTGCTCAATGCTCGGTGTGATATGCCATCGTGTCAAACACTTATAATTAATCTCAACATCTCTCATACTAACATTCTCGTGTATCAATCTAAATATCTTGTTCTGTTGATCTTCGTCTAACACCACCTCCATATCTCTTTCCCATTTCGTTATAAAAATTAACTTTGTGTCTGTGTCTAATTCTGTGAGTATTCTATAAATTTTACCAATTCCATGTTTCCCATCTCTACGTGATTCTAACAGCCTTTCAAACATATTCCACTCCTTTTTTAATCTCAGGGGTTTTGGTAGCTTTCCAATAAAACATTTTAACTGGTGATATTTCCACTCATCTATTCCAGTAAAAATGTCTCCCTTCTTCTCTTTTAATTCTTTAAATGGTCTCAATTCCCCCTCTACCAGTACATCTCTCAGTTGGATATCTTCCCTTTTAAACCATCTCCCTGATATCTCATCCTTTCCTGGGGGGAAATACTCAGTATTTGCAAGAGGCATTAATATAGAGTTGAATTCCCATTTCATATTTTTGCGTAAATTATCCCATACCCTTAAAACATTTAAAGTGTAAATACTTGTGCTTTCTTTAATTCTTCTAGAATGTGCTGGGACCCATATCATCTTACTCAAACTAATCCCACTCAGTTCATTTTCAATTTTTACCCAACCCTTCCCCTTATGGTTAAATGTCCAGTCGTAGATTCTTGCTAAGATTACTGCTTTATAGTATCTCTTGACATCAGGTAGTCCCATTCCCCCTTTCTCTTTAGTCCTACTCAATGTTTCGTATGATATTCTTGGTTTTTTATTCCTCCAAATGTATCTTGTTAACATTTTTTTTATTATCTTAAAAAAAGCCTCTGGGAGTTTGATTGGAACCAATTGGAATTTATACAGTATTTTAGGTATGATTACCATTTTAACTAGGTTTATACGTCCTATCCATGATGGGTTTCTTCCTTCTAATATTTTTAATTCTTCCTTGATCTCATTTATCAAAGAATATAGTTTAATCTATACAGTTGTTTATATGAGATAGCAAGTTTTATTCCTAGGTATTTTAAATCTTTTTCTCTCCATATAAAGGGGAATTCTTTTTGAAGCTTTTCCTTTTCACTCTTTGATATGTTGATGTTCAGGATCTCTGTTTTTGTTGGATTCATTTTTAAATTTGATAGTTCACCATATTCCTTTAGGATCATCATTATGTTTGGTAATGTTATTCGGGGGTTGCCTACATAAAACAATAGGTCATCCGCAAAGGCCGCTACTTTGTGTTCTATATTTTCTATCTGGATTCCCTTTACAGCTCCGCTATTCCTTATCATTGACAACAGGGGTTCCAATGACAAAACATACAACAGGGGGGACAGTGGGCAGCCCTGTCTTGTTCCATTGGACATCCCAATGGATTCCGACCTCTCCCCATTTACCGTAATAATTGCGGTGGGCTCCCTATATAATTTAACTATCCACTCCCCATTCTCTCTCCAATCCCCAATACTTCTAAGTTGTCCATCATGAAGCCCCAATCCATTCTATCAAACGCCTTTTCGGCATCAATCGACAATAGTACCACCGGGGCTTTCCCTTTTCTACTTTTCTGAATAAGCATCAAAGTTCTCAACCCGTTATCTCTACCCTCTCTCCCTGGGACAAAGCCCACCTGATCTCCATGAATCCATTCAGGCATTAGATCTTTCAGCCTGTTTGCTAGAACCTTTGCATACAACTTAGTATCGGTGTTCAATAATGAAATTGGTCTATAGCTGAAACACTGAGAAGGATCTTTTCCCTCCTTGTGAATAAGTACAACATGGGCCTGAAGAGATTCTCTTCTCCCCTCCATCCCCCCTCCCAGATCGTTCATATACTTCTTCAGCTTAGGTAACAATATTTCACTATATTTTTTATAGTACTTTACTGTATACCCATCCGGTCCTGGACTTTTTCCACCCCCTGTACTTCTTAATGCTACTTTTATTTCATCCTGGGAAATTTCCGCATCCAAGGAGTTCAATTGTACTTCACTTAACTTTGGTAATCCTGCGTTTTTTAAATATATCATCCTTTTTTTGTTGATATCCTCTCCATTTTCTTTTGGAGAGCCTTGGGGGCTAATATTATACAACTTTCTATAGTACTCCGTGAACACTTTAATAATCTCTTTAGTTGAGTGAACCAACTCCCCCTTAGGATTTTTTATCTTTTCTATATAATTTCTATTTTTCTTTTTATTCAGAGCTCTCATTAAGTATTTTCCTGGTCTGTCTCCCCATCTATATCTTTCACTTAATACTTTATTATATACTCTTCTCTTCTCCTCATCCATCAATCTCTCTAACTCATCTTTTTATCCATTAACTTCTATCTTGTTTCTCTTATTACTTTCTTCTTTTGTATCTGCTCCAACTCCAGAATTTCTTTTAAGAGCCCACTAACCCCTCTCTCTTCTTTCTCTTTTCTTCCTTGCTCCCATCGCAATCAGGATTCCTCTTACATATACCTTGTGGCTTTCCCATACTGTGGCTGTCGATACTTCCTCTGTCTCATTCTCCTTGAAATACACCTTGATCTCTTCCCCAATCTTCTGAGCTATATCCTCATCCAAGAGAAGGGCCTCATTTAACCTCCATCCTAGGCCTCCCGTCCACCGTCTTCCCCATCCCATTTTCATTATGACAGGGGCATGATCCGAGAATTTACTCATCTCTATTTCTATTTTAACCAATAGTTCTATGAGTTGATGATCTATTAAAATATAATCCAGTCTCGAGTATATCTCATGTGCATTAGAGAAGAAGGTATAGTCTGTCTTTCATATGCATTATTCTCCAAGTGTCCACCAGTTGGTACTCGTGGATCGCTTTTTTCAAAGCTCTCAGAGACCTACCACCTGCTCTCTGCACAGGGGAGGTTGTATCCTTTTGTGGGTCCATACAAAGATTTAAATCTCCTGCTACTATCAAACGCCCTTTTTTGAAGTCTATCAATTTTTTCAACAGACCCTTCAAATAGATCTCCGGCTTTTTGTTGGGGCAGTATATATTGGCCAACGTACACTCGATTCCCTGTAATTTACCTCTCAAAAACAGGAATCTCCCCTCCGGATTGGTCCTTCTATCCTCCAGCTCAAATCTCATATTCTTTGCCAACCCTATTGC